TAGACAAGTCGGAGTTTGTTGTCAATTTGATAGTGCTGCATATGTCTGAGTTTGAAGTTATCCTTGGTATGGATTGGTTATCTTCCTACCACGTTAGTATTGACTGCTTTGCGAAAACAGTCAATTTGCGAGCGTCCGATGAATTTGAGATGATTATAGCCATTAGTATTGACTGCTTTGCGAAAACAGTCAATTTGCGAGCGTCCGATGAATTTGAGATGATTATAGCCACCTCTCAGGGAAACCGTTTTGCGGAGTCATTTTTGGCGTACATCGAGCAGGTGATGCGACAGGATCAGAGTATTGATTTGTTGGAGACTAGAGTTATCTCAAAGTATCAGGATGTCTTTCAGGACATACATGGGTTACCTCCTGTGAGAGAGGTTGAGTTTTGTATTGAGTTGTAGTTGGGCACTACCCCGATATCCTGCGCACCATATCACATGGCACCAGCTGAGATAAGGGAGCTTCAGACCCAGTTGGACGAGTTATTAGCTCAGGGTTTTATTCGTCGGAGTCAATATCCATGGGGAGCGTCAATTCTCTTCATGAAGAAGGACGACAGTGTGCGTTTGTGTATTGATTATAGAGAGTTGAACAAGGTCACTATTCAAAATAGGTATCCGTTACCTAGGATTGAGGAATTGTTCGACCAGTTGCAGGGAGCGTAGTATTTCTCAAAGATTGATCTTCGTTCTGGTTATCATCAGTTGCAGATTCGAGAGATGGATATTCCAAAGACCGCTTTTCTAACTCGATATGGATCTTTCGAGTTCATGGTCATGCCATTTGGGTTAACCAATGCACCCACAGTATTTATGGATTTGATGAACCGGGTTTTTCATCCCTTCTTGGACCAATTTGTGATTGTTTTTATCGACAACATCCTCATTTATTTGAGATCGGAGGCAGATCATGAGCAGCATCTACGGTTAGCTTTACAGACCCTACGAGAGTGTTTCCGTCGAAAGTTACCTGAGTCATTGATTTCATTAAACTTTAAGCGTTACAAATGAATTCAAATAACAAAAATAAAAGATTACAACTTTCTTGAAAATAAACACAAGATCCGTTTATTGGCTCTTGCTTGCGTGGGTTCTTTGCCGGTGCCGGGTTAATCCGTGGACGATCGCGAATCAGATCCGGTTGTAGGAAAATTCGGCAGAGCTTCTACCTCACCAAAAGGGTTTTTTGCTTGAAGCGCTGAGATCGACAAAGTGAAATCAGGGCTCTTCTCGAGATTAAGACCAAGCCTAATCTCAAGGAACAGACGTACGAGCTTCGGATCCTTCGAACAGCTTCTCCTTTGTGCTGAAGTTCGTCGGGATCTCGCTAACCTTCGCTGAAATTTCGTGCTCCTTCACTCTCCAATCCAGCAGCACCTCGTCCTCTTGATAAAATTCTAGATCCCGAAAATGGAGGCCTTTGGCTCATATTTATAGGCCCCGGATGCGCTTATTTTGGATGAGAACAAGTGATTTGGCTCTATTTTCAGTTAACAATAGCCTAACCACGTTTGGGGATGATATCAAGTCAGTTGGGAACCCTTGGAATAGATAAATCCTGTGAAAACAACTTTAAAACCGTCAAAATACGTTTCAGGTTCCGGACTGCGCTTGCGCGGGTCGGATCAGTCTGACCTGCGCTTGCGCGGGTCGGACCAATCTGACCCGTACAATCGTGGGTCGGACCAATCCGACCCGCGCTTGTGCGGGTCGGACCAATCCGACCTGCACAATTGCGGGAACCCCTGGAACAGATAAATCCTGTGAAAACAACTTTAAAACCGTCAAAATACGTTTCAGGTTCCGGACTGCGCTTGCGCGGGTCGGTTAGTTCCGTCCTGCGCTCACGCAGTTTTGCCGATTTTTCCTTTTTTTCTGTTCTCTTTCTTCCAAGACTTGTTCTTTTCGCTTGTTTGGCCGATTTGTTGACTTGTATGCTTCGCCACGAGACCGACTATCGAACGCGCGTTAGTTAATATATGCGTGTTGATCGTTGCACGTGGACTGATCGGCGTGCGCGTGTTGACCGATGCGTACGAGCTGACCGACGCGCACGAGATGATTTGACGTGCGCTGACTTATTGGCAAATTTTCTTGATTCACTCGTTCATTGCTTCGAGTTTCGTGCGGGCATTCATAAACAATTTTAGACGTCTACAGATACCCCCTCCAAAGTGTTTCAGCCTCATTCTTTTATAGAGGAGTCTGAAATGCTTTGGATATGATGGATCCCCACCTTCAGTCGGTGTTAAAGGACCTACAGATGGTTTCGATTCTTGACTTCTCCACATTTTAGCATATTCTGTATTTTATCGAATAGCTAAGATTTTCCCGGTACTACGTTTATCGTCTGACCGTTATTGAAGCCTTGAATCGAATTTGGTGAATAGATTTTTGCTGATGTGTCATTAAGTTGACTTTTGGATCAATCGCAACGCGTTGACCGGCGTTGACTTAGGGTTTCGTGTCGATCGGCGTTGACTCTCATCGCAACGCGTTGACCGGCATTGACCTAGGGTTTCGAATTAACCTGAGGAGAAGCAGTTTATACTCGTATGCTCCTGGGAGTTTCGGGAGTTAGTTTAGCCTCGTGTACTCATCAGAGGTTACCAGGTTATCCTTAAGAATCATTATATGTAATATTCTCCAGGAACTTCCTGTCAAAATGGGAAACAGTTTAGGCTCATGTACCCATTGGAGTTTGGATTTCGAATATTCCGATAATAGGCAAAAATATCGTGAGATCACCCAAAATATAAAATTGGGTCCCGAATATTCTGAAGATGGGTCCCGAATATTCTGAGGATAGGCGAAAAATCACGAAATCACTCAAAATATAAAATTGGGTCCTGAATATTCCGAGATAGGTGAAAAATCATGAAATCACCCAAAATATAAAATTAGGTCCTGAATATTCTGAAAATATCGTAAAATTATTTGGGAGACGGAATTGAACTCCGAAAATTCCAAATCTGAGTGAAAATGCCGTCCAATTATCTGGGAGATGAAATCGAACTCTGAACGTTCCAAATATGAGCAAAAATGCCGCAAAATTATCCGAGAGATGAAATTAAACTCCGAAAACTTCGAAAACGGACGAAATCAGGTGAAAATACAACAAAACGGGCCCTGAACTGGGTCTGACCCGCGTTCACGCGGGTCAGATGAATCCGACCCGCGTTATCGCGGGTCGGATTGATCCGACCTGCGAGCACGCGGGTCGGAATCTGGGAGAAGGGTTAAGAGCAAGGACAGCAAGCTCTGAAGGAGGCTCTTAAGGCTGACGTGACCATGAAAGTTGGCAGCCCCCCCTCCAGCAAGCTCTGAACCCCTCCCAAGCCCCTCTCATAAGGCTGACGTGGCCTTGGGGAGCTTCCGAGTTCCCAAGCGCTCCACAAATTTGTGGAGCGCTTGGGAGCTCCCAACTGGTAGAGATATTAACAAACCCCCCCACAAGTTCCTAATTACAGAACTGAAAAAAAGGAAATCTGCCCAAAAATCAAACCTTTGCTTGGTTTGACGGAGGTTGTGGGAACTGAAAAAAAGGCGGAGGCGGCGGAGGTTGCAGGAGAGGGCGGGATGTCGACGGTGGCGCTCGGTTGGGGCTTGATTCGAAGATGACGAAGGGTCAGGTGGCGCTCGAACTGGGGACAAAGATTTGAAGAGTTGGGGACGAAGAATTGGGGACGAAAATTTTTGACGAGGAAGATTTGAGGAGATGATTTGGGGAGATGAGTTGGGGGCGACAGTGTTTTGATTTAGGGCGATGGGTTTTGATGTAATTTTTTTAATTAGCTTTCAACTTCACGTGGAACAAAGAAAAAATACTACCGTTGGTAAAAAATGAACCGTTGAGTGAAAAAATTTCTTACCGTTGAGTTATGAAAATGACATTTGTGGGCTCCATTTTCTTGTTGTTGAACAGTAAAAAAACCTCTATAAATTCATAATTCACAATCCACACAACTTTCTCATAAAAAAAACTATATATTTTCCTATCAAATTACAAATCTCATGGATCCCTCCCAAAACAACTACTATTCGCATCTCCTTACTGGTGAAGGATCGACCGTATACTTGCCGTTCTATACAGAAGTCGTAGAAGAAGGTCATCCCATTGAGTTATCACAATCCGCAACACAACAAGTGTCATCCCAAGAAACACCGACCACAAAGAAGAAGAAGGCTTACACGCGGTCAAAAAATTGGACTGTCCACGAGGATAAGCTTCTTGTGTCTGCTTGACTGAACACGAGCTTTTTATGTAAATATTTAACTTATATGTTTGATTATTCTAAATTTAACTCTTGTGTAGACTGCAGAAGTAAAAGAATTATACCAATCCCTTTATGGTAAGCCATTCGTGTTTGGCCATTGCTGGGTTGAGTTGCGTCATCACCAAAAGTGGAGCCAACAAATGGAAAATTACAATAAGATTCGATCACAGCCGAGAAGAACCACGAACTCTGATTCCTCACCAAACAATTCCATGCCAGCGACCCCCATCGAGTTGAACATTGACTCGGATGATGTTATAGCAAGGCCTGAAGGGAGGAAAGCGGCAAAACTCAAGAGGAAACAAAATGTGGACAAATCTGAGTCCGCTAAGTCCATTATGGGAGAGGCTTTCGCGTGGATGAAGCAAACCAACAAAGAAAAAATGGAGCTAAAACAGAAGAAACAAGATGACGATATCATGAAGATCGATCTCTCAACACTCAATTCAGTTCAACGATAATACTTTGAAATGCGTCAGGCAGAGATATTGGAGAGGTGGATGTCCAAGGGTTCTTCTTAATTATCATATATTGTACTCACATCGCATCCTCATTAGTTCTTCCTAATTATCAAATATTATCATATATTAGATTTATGATTGTACTTGAAGTTGACAAATTTGGCATTGAATGAAAACAACTACTTTATTGAAAATGAAATTGGCATAGTACAACAACTTGAACTCCTTTTCTGAAATTACATTAGACATAAAGAAACTTAATCCTCGGCGATGGATCCCTTAAGCTGCCACAGATGCTCGATCAAATCATTTTTTAGTGATTTGTGTGTTTGCGTGTTCCTGATCCGATGATGATTTTGGATGAACTCAGTTAGAGGCACCGTCTGCACATGAGAAGGTTCAACGACTGGTACCGAATCGGTAAAGTCAAAGTTATTGTCCAATTGACAATCACGTTCATCTTCAACGATCATGTTATGCATTATGATACAAGCTGTCATGATATCTTTCAGCACACAAGGTTGCCAGAAACGTCCTAGTCCACGAACAATCGTAAATCGAGCTTGCAACACGCCAAAAGCTCGCTCAACATCTTTTCTTGCGCTTTCTTGTTGTTGATTAAAGTACTTATGCTTGTTTCCTCGAGGTGCTGGAATAGTCTTCACTAATGTGGACCACTCTGGGTAAATCCCATCGGCGAGATAGTATCCCATATTATACTCGTGGCCATTGACAGTATAGTTGCACGGTGAAGCTCTTCCCTCCGCAAGTTGTGCGAAAACCGGTGAACGATGTAGAACATTAAGGTCATTGTGAGACCCCGGTAGTCCAAAGAAGGCATGCCATATCCAAAGATCTTTGCTAGCTACGGCCTCCAAAATAATTGTGGGTTCAGCATGCCATATCCAAAGATCTTTGCTAGCTACGGCCTCCAAAATAATTGTGGGTTCATGAAAATGTCCAGTATACATACCTTGCCAGGCAGTTGGACAGTTCTTCCATGTCCAGTGCATGCAGTCGATGCTCCCAAGCATACCAGGAAAACCTCATTGTGAGCCTTCCTTGAGCAGGCGTGCAACGTCTTCATTAGTCGGTGCATGAAGGTATTCCTCTCCAAAGATGTTGATAATCGATCGAACGAACCTCTTCACGCTCTCAAGCGACGTACTTTTACCGATCCGAACGTAGTCGTCAACGGAGTCAGTTGATGCTCCATATGCGATCATCCGCATAGCTGCAGTAATATTTTGAAGACTAGATAGTCCTAACTATCCAGCACCATTCGTCTTTTGGACGAAGTACTTATCATGTTCGACGACTGCGTCATGGATTCGAAGGAATAATGAACGCCTCATTCTGAACCTTTGACGAAAATAATAAAGAGGATAGGTTGGTGCGTCAGCAAAATAATCTTGGAATAACCGATTGTGGCCTTCCAGTCGGTTTCGATGGAGCACGATACGTCGTTTGTGTTGAACTGAAGTTGAACATTTCTCTTGTTCTTCTTCCTCAACGACAACAGCTCCCATAAGAAAGAACTTCTTCATCATTTCATCATCGCTAGAGCTAGATGAGCTAGACATTTTATTCTGAGAGATGATGGGTTGAGGAGAGAAGCCGTCGAATTTTATAGGCATCAGTCGATTGACGGTCAAAGTTTGCGATACCTCGAACTTCGTGCCCAACATCGAAGACCGCGGGTTACCTTGAAGACCATGTGTGTTCCCTCAAAAGCTACGGGTTACCTCGAAGACCGTGTGCGCTCCCTCGAAGACCGTGGGTTGCCTCGAAGATCGCGTGCGCTCCCTCGAAGGCCGTATCCAACGGTTAGAAATAAAATACAAGAGGTTTAAATATAATTAAAAGTAATGGGTAAAATATTAAAATAGAAGAGGAGTTTTTTTTTGATATTGTTGGAGCTCCTAACTAGGAGCTTGTTGGAACTCCATAAAAGAATGAGTGCCTCCCAAGACTTCCTTTTTTAATTTTTTATTCCAAAAAGGTTGAGAGCTCTTGAGACAAAGAATGAGTGCCTCCCAAGACTTCCTTTTTTAATTTTTTATTCCAAAAAGGTTGAGAGCTCTTGAGAGCTTGCTGACTAGGACTCCCAACTGGCAAAAAGGTTGAGAGCTCTTGAGAGCTTGCTGACTAGGACTCCCAACTGGGAGCTTGCTGCACTTGCTCTAAAAACCCCATTTTCTTTCTTCCTTCTTCCTCAAGTTCGGTTCCAGCTCCTCAAAAATTTCGGTTTTCTTCTTCTTTGAGTTCTAAACATCCAAGAACTCCTCCACACCAAGAACTCTAAATAAGATCAAAGCTCTCCTCAACCCCTTAAATCTCTCTTCAATTCCTTTCCCTCTTC